CCGTTGAAGATCGGGGTTGAGCGTTTGTTGATTGTCCTTCAACCTGTCGGAGGGACTGACAAAGACTGTTTCGGATAGCAGCAATTTTAGTCTCAGCCTTGAAAACAGAGAGAGTCCGTTTTGAATCGGTACCAGCTTGGGGGGGGGGGGGCGCAATTGTGGCTGAAGAGCCAGGTGTCTAGTTTCTCCTGCATAGAGCCGTCAGACAACCAATTGCTTCGGGTGTCAATCTCTGGTATTGTGTCAGCGGGTATGTAACTATGTATAGAGCTTTGTCCTTTGTGAAAGTGTTTCAAGATAATAGAGGTGAAGAAGTTCAAGAAGTACAGGCCACATAGCTTGTTGTTCGAGGTAGGTGAGTCTAATAGTTGTTGTTGGTGGTAGACTCAAGAAAGTCGACAGCTGAATGCCTCCGTCCGTCCTGCATCAGCCCATTCCTTCCCATCAGCCAACCGGAATCCGGCGCAGTGCGAGCCACGTACTGTAATGTCAGGTAACATGTGATTCTCGATACGACAAAAGGTATTGATGCCTGAGGTGCTACAGGTGTTTCTGCCTGAGAAGACGACCCTTCTTTTTTTTTTCGGCGCTCTGACGATCCGTTCCAAGCTTTTGCCTGGTCTTTTTCCCGCCGCTTCGTCTATCCAGAAACCCAAAAGTCTCTAACCAAACCTCAGTAACCTTCATTTTTCCTTTCATCTTTCTCTCTCTCTTACTTGCACTCTCACTCTCTCAATTTCTTACCTTCTTCCACCTCTTTTCCCCCTCCACTCTACCCCCCCCCGCCACCCTTTCCTCTCTCTCTGTTCTCTGTCTCTTCTCTTCTCTTCCTTACTCGTTCTTCTTCTCCAAACCCACTTTCTCACTCATCCACCCCCCTCTACCCTCTACCCAATTCTGATCCAATCCCATTTCTTCTTTCCTTTCCTTTCTCATCTTAGTTCTGGCTCCATCCCATTCCCGTCCATTTCCTCTCTTATCCTTTCCCTGTCATTCCTTTTTTTCCTTCCCGCACGCTTCCTTGTATTGAAACCCTTCTCTCCCTTTCTCTATCTCTTCACTCCCCTCCCCCCGAAAATTAAACATCATCTCTGCTCACCATCTCCCGCACTTCCGTTTCTCCTTCCGAACTCCCCTCCCCTTCCCGTACCCTTTTCCGACGCTGTCTTCGTCTTCAATTCTCGCCTGGTCCAAGTCCTTGGCTCCCTCTTGCCAAGCTGACTCGGACCTAGGTACTTAGGCTCCCTTGTCCATGCCACGTTCATCGGCTACGGCTAGGAAGAGTCATAGCAATCGAAATGAGAACGGTCTTGTCGGTCCCGGAAAGAAAGTGAACAAGCAAAAGTCGAATGGAAATCTGAATGGGACCTCCGCCAGCGCCTCGAATCCGACTTCTGGCCCTTCCACTCAGGTCGACTGGCAACCGTCCCGCTCATCCAGCGACTCGGCTCTAACCTCAACCGCCGCATCGACAAGCAAGGTGAACGGAAACGCTGATTCTTCCAAGGCGGAGGGTAACGGACGAGGTCAACTGAATGGATACGCAAAAGGCAGCGCGGACATGTCATACGGTCAGACGAATGGTGCGGCGCCGCAGAATGGCGGACTCGCAGTCCAGGCGTCGCGTCGGACGGACAAGTCGGTGACCGGCACCAAAAGGTCGGCCTCCAGTGCTTCGATTAATCCGCTTCAACTGGCGTCTACGATCCTCAAGTCTTGTCCGATGTACGACACGATCGCAATCTTGATCTTTCTGCTTCAACTTCCGCCTATGGTTCTCACTCTGGTCCAATTCTTGTTCGCTTCTTTGACCTTCATGCCGCCAGGTGGCGCGTCTTCCGGCTCCCTGACCTCCAACTTCGACATCTTCCAGGGTCCCGCCGGAACACCATCGCTGGGTACAATGATTGCGATGGATGGGTTCTGCCTGTTGTTCTGGGGCCTCTTCATGTGGACCTGGGCGCAGAATTTCGCCTTAGATCTCGCTCACGTGCAAGTCGCCATCACCCTTGGCGGCGGAGGCTCTGGAAAAAATGGAGGGGTCAATGCGCTCTGTGTTGGCATCGTCCTCGTATTACATCTTATCCGCAGTAAAGGTATACAGGATTTTGTTATAGGTCATCTGCTCTCATCCAAAATCGTCAGCCCCGATCTTCTCTCGCACTATTCCCACCTTATGCCCACCGAATTTCGACGCACCGAACCGCAAAGCTCTCCGAGCTGGATTCGAAGTCTACTTGCGGTGCATATATTGGCTCAAGCTGGTACTGCCATGGCGAGACGGTCGATGGCTAAGAACCGGTCCCCGGTCCCCCCTCGGAACGGCAAGCGCGTGGATACCGAAGCGTCCGCCGGCTCGCAAACACAAATCGATTCTGCATTCGAGTCTGGCGCCAGTGTCTCTTCCTATATCGGTGCCGATGGTCAGATTGTTACGCCCGCCACTCTCAAGGACGGTCGCGATAGACTGATTTCGGCCAAGAAACGCAGGAGGCAGGCGAACCAGGTTCGGAATCGTCAGCCTTTCTGGGCCGCACTCGCAAGCACGAAGGTGACGGTAATGAGGGAATATGAGCATTCTAGGGCTTTATCGAAAACTGGCAGAGGTCTCGCAATGACGGAGGAGGATCTACAAGGAGTGTCTCTGGATGACGGGCTTGTTTGGATAACCGAGATTGATAGCTCTACCATCAAGTTTGCAGCGGGCGATCTTGCTTCGCCCGATGATTCTTCGGTTTCGGGAGCTTGCGAAGCGGGACGTCTTGGTGGGGAAGAAACAGAACCATTCTATGTCTGTGTTAACGGTGCACTGTGGGCGACCGCAGTGATCAACAAAGTACAGGACTCGTCTAAGGGCTCACACACGGTGCATTGGCGGGGTGAGATTTCGGGTCTCGCGCCGAACTGCGCCTACACCTGCTCCTTCATGCGGAGCGATACTGACGAGGAGATCTGTGTCATGAGCGTCAAGACTCCCGCCGCAAATGACGCAGAGCAAGGTAATACGAAGCCTCTACGCAATAGATTCCAATCTCACTAACGCCACTTCTAGTATCTTCGGTATCAGTTCCCCCGCAGCCAACGTATCGTCCGTCTTCCCCGACTACCACACTCAAGAATTCCATCGTCAACGCCGAGGTCAAGCTGAACGAGAAACGCTCTCGGCTGAGAAAGGCCAAAAACGATCACAAGCTCGCAATCTCGAAAATTCGGAAAGAGTTGGAAAACTTCAATCACCGGCTTCAGAGCGGTACGGATGAAAATCGACAGAAGCAGCGCTCGCTACAGCTCGAAAGGAATATCAAGCAAACCGAGGAGGCCACCGCCGTACTCGAAAGCCAGTTGGACACCTTGCAGAACGTCCCGGAGGAGGAACTCGAGGAATGGACAAGCCAGAAGGCCAAATTTGACCAAGAGTTGGAACAGCTCAATCTGGTCAAGGAGGAACTCGTCGCTGCTCGAACTGCAATCTCCCGTGAGGTGTCATCTTTGGAAAGTGAATTGAATTCCACTGTTCAGAGGAAAGAACGTCTTCAAGGCCGCCGGACTCGCGTCAACGAACAGTACGAGCGCATTGTCTCTGCTAACGCACAGGGTCTCAACGAGAGGGAGCGTCGTGCCGCAGAACAATTTGCGAGGGAACAGGACCAAGCCAAGCTGGAGGTCAGCTTTAACGAGCAATTTTCCAGCATCGGTCAGTCTGTGCAGGAGTACCAGTTGCGCACCAATCAACTCTGGCAGCAAGCTGCCGCTATTGAACAAGCCATTCAGCAGCAGCAACAGCAGCAGATGCTCCTGGATCCCGCCCCGCTCACTCCGGAAGGGAATTTGCCCGGCACGAACCCTCTCACCGATGCACCCAGTCTGTCCCTCGCCGCGTTGACGGCTGCTCCCACCACCCGATCAATTTTGGGACTGAGTTTCCCCGCGTTGAAATCTAGCCCTCTTCAGCAGACGTCGTCCCCTATCGGTGATTCCCTGTCTCACCCGGCCAGCCCGGTTCAGGCTCCCTCTTACCTTGCGCACTTTCCGACATCCCCGATTGGCCATAGCGGTACCTACTTCGATGCTGATTTCGCTACACGGGACCGCTCGTTCTCCAATCGATCTGCACGAAGCAGTCTGTATGGGTCTGATTTTGTGGACACCCACAGCCGTCGACCTCCTTATCAGTTCGATTTGTCCGATTCGGTTGCAGACAAGCGGAGTATCTCTGGCTCAGATGCAAACGCTCAAAGTGCGGGTGTCCGACCCATTGCTAGCCCGTTCCAGCGGGCCGGCAGCCGGGGCAGTGGCAGTGGAAGCGGCGGTAGTGGCAGTGGCAGCAGCGGCAGTGGTAGTCCCAGCTCGACTGGCAAGGGCAACTAGGATCTTGAGATCAGGACTGGACTGGGGCTTCTTGCTCCGGGACACCCTGACTTTCAAAACTCGTTGCATTCCTTTCCGTGTTTGTTGATCTTCATACGTGGTGCTCCGGGTTGTGTGGGTGATCGCATGTCTTCGGGTTTGGTGGACCGACAGGGTTGGTTGAGCCGGGAGCTGTGATGCTTGTTGATCTGGTTCTTATCGCAAGCCTATGAACAAATAAAACCGTGTCATTAAGTAGAGTCTAAACTTCCTACATCGCGATAAAAGAAACTTGTTGCCTGAAGTCTGCTTGTCGTAATCGGGGCTAGAGATCTATGAACTTTAAGACCTGCATCCGACTAATGCCATAGAGTATGTAGTGCAGTGATCAACGAGCCTGTCTAGCCGAGTAACCGACTATAGTGCATGCATCTTGAGCCGAAAACCATTCAACCTCTATGTCATCTGGTGTATATTTACGTGACTCGAAATCTCTATATAAGGGTATAGGTACAGTACACTCACTTCCACTCTATTCCAACTCGACACACAACCCGACTATTCCCAGCCCCCACAAACGCAAGCCCTATAACCAACCAGCCTAACAGACAAACCCATGCATGTCCCAACCCATACACCTCTGAAGGACATGGTCAAATCTCCCTCCCCATCTCCCAAAACCGCGTATCCGCATACGTCAAGCATAACTCCTGGGCGTCCTGCTGGACACGGTGGTCTATCGTCGTCGCATCTTTCTGTGGTGTGATCGCCCGCACCACCCTCGCCACCACAATCGTATGATCCTGCACTTGGATCGACTGCGGCAGCAACCGACATTCGAACACGAAGGGGAAATCGTCCACCTCCTCCTTTCTCGGGTGTGCACGGCCGGTAGGTTGGTGCTTCCTGCGCCGTAACAACGGAAGAGGAGGGGGAGGGGGCGGTACGTCTTCGGGTTCGGTGTTGGTGCTGGTGTGCCCGTCGCTTTCGACGGCCAACGGCGGCAGAGCCGCGAACTCATACCCGGCTGGCCCCGACGATTCCTCGCCTCCGCCTCCCTCCGTGGCAGTGGTGGTCCCGTGGAGGCCGTGAGAAATCCCGAGGCGACGGTTGCCGCGCGAGAAGTCCCGGGCGAGGGCGGCGGTGCGCGCGTGCGGGGCGAGGAGGTGCACGAGGAAGCGGCCGGAGGATTGGAGGGCGGTCAGGGTTTCGGAGGGGCGGCGCACGTTGAAGGAGATGATTGGCGTCGGGTGCAGGGTTACTGTGTTGAAGGAGGAGACGGTCATGCCGCGGAAGGGGGAGGGGGAGGGATGCGATGCTGATGCGGAGGTGTGGGCGTGGGCGTGGGCGTGCGGGTCGGTGGAGGTGATGATGGCGACGGGGTAAGGGACTTGGCGCATTAGGAGGCGGATTTGCGTGGAGAGGTCTTGTGGGTGGGTGGGTTGAGTGGGTGAGGGGGTTTGGGAGGGTTGTTCTTGTTCTTGTTGTTCTTGTTGTTCTTGGTGGGTTGCGCGGGAGGTGGTGAGGGTTCGCTTGCTGGTGGTGATGATGTGGGATGTTGGGTTTGCGGAGGTGGTGGTGAGGGGTGTTGCAGGGATTGGATATGGTTGTGGTACAAGGGTGAGGACTGTAGAGTTTGGGTTAATCGAAGTGCGATTGGGGCAATCAATGGTGTTGGGGGTGTACCTCTGAGCAAGCTGGAGCTTGCTGCAGTCCGGCCTGCTGCAAGCATGTGTCGAGAGTATAGAGGCATATTCGGGTGAATTGATTATATTGACAGCACTGTTTCGAGTGATGATTGGGGGAATGAATAGTTTGAGCTTTATACTCAATTTTGCAGCAGTAGATCAAGAATAATACACAATTCAAAGCCCCTCCAATATTATCCTGAATGTTTATGCGGTTATCTCCAAGGAAAGTTAGATAGAATGACCTCCGGAGGTTCCCCGAAGCCGATTGTCAGGAAAGAAAAAAGGGCGCGCGGTGCAAGCTGACCGCCTACCGGATTTGCGCGCATCCAAATTTCCCCAGCTCGGGAAAAAGAAGAGAGAGAAAAGCGAAGTCCGTCCCCGTCCCCGAATTGACCGCAATCCAAATCGCATTTCCACATATACCAACCTTACACATATCACCACTCCCCCATCTCTCGCTTTTCCTTTCCCTCCAGGTCCAGGTCCAGGCCCCCGAGACCAAGACCCCCGAACTCCATCTGCCATCTACACAATCACAAAAAAATGTCCTTCACCACCCCCCTCCGCCGCAGCACGGTCACGGCCACGGCCACGACGGCCCGACTCCAACCCTCGACGACCTTCATCTGCTCGCAGTGCCGCCACGCCACGCTCCTGCGCCGCCCCAAGCGGCCCTACCAGTTCACGCAGCTGATCACCATGTCCGACGGCAGCACCTTCACGCACCGCACCTCCTCCCCGCTCCCCATCTACCGCTCCACCCGCGACACGCGCAACTCCCTCATGTGGAACCCCTCGTCCAGCCGCCTGGCCAGCCTGGAGAAGGACGAGGCCGGGCGCCTGGCCGCTTTCCGTGCCAAGTTCGGTCGCGGGTTCGACACCAACGCCGCCGCTGCGGTGAGCGAGGCCGACAAGAAGGCCGAGGCCGAGGCGGCGCAGGCGGCGCAGGCGGAGGCCGAGGAGGAGGACGACAACCTGTTGGATTTGATCAGTTCGTTCGGGCAGCAGGAGGCCGGTCCTTCGGAGAAGAAGAAGAAGTGGTGATTGTTCTTCGTCTTGGGTCGGTCGGTTTGGTGAGGAAGTTCAAAGCAAAGCGAAACGAGACGGAGAGGCGAGGCGAGGCGAGGCGAGGGTGATTGTTGGCCTCTGACCGGATTTTCTGGTTCTTCGCCTTCCAGTTGGGGTTGTATTCTGTGCCGGATTTTAAGGATGGGGGGGTTTCTCTGGGATTGTTGTTGTGGGATCGCTTTTTTTTCCCCAAGGTTGTTTTTTTTATGTACAGTATACACACACATCGTCATCATACCACGCACCCCTTTGAATGGAGTTTTGTTTTCTCGTTTGTTTGCTGCAAGTTTGGCAGTTGGATTAGACTACATGAGGTGGAAAAAAGTAAGGGCTTAAATGCGCTGCTAAACAGTTATCTGGGTTGCGTACTGGTCAAGGACTCGCCGGATACGAACAACTGTGCGCCGCACCAAGGGATTGCAAATGAGACACAAGGGAGTATAACGACAATGACATTTGGGGGGCCGTCAGCGAGTCGTGGCGGGTTATCTTATACAGAGGTGAGAAAGAACGGGATATCACCTAAGCCTCTTCCGCTGCTTCGGCTGGAGCTGTCTCCGGAACTGTTTCGGCTGGAGCATCGCCTGCCCCAGGTGCACCATACAGCAGATTGCCTTCTTCTCCCGCGTCGAGCTGCATCAGGAAGGTTTCCCATAATTCGATTAACTGCATCGGTCAGTACATGGTATTTTGAGGATTGAAGCTGAAACACATACCTCCTTCTGGGCTTCGACGGCGCTCTCCAAGAATGTCTCGACACCAGACTTGAAGTCCTCCACCTTCTCCTTCTCAAACCGCTGGAGTTCATTCCGCATCAACCGGCCCATATCCTCGAACAACAACCGTGCCTGGTGGGATTTGCGTTCAGCATCGGCCACGTCGGCATTGACTTGCGTGAGGCGATCCTGTTGAGTCTTTCCTTGTCTGAGCAGTTTTTCCTGGGTGTGCTTGCGTTTCTGTAATTCAGCCTCCGCCGCATGCCAGCTGTGGAATGCCTTTTGTCGTTGAGTGAACGCTGTCTTGACACTGCCAATCAGGCGCAGGTACTCGTCGATGGTGATTCCGAGGGTGAGAACATCCTGCTGTGCTTGACGCTCATACAACTCCCTGATGCGCAGCTGAAGGTCGGAAAGACCCTCCAGGGGGGCCGACAGTGCAGGCGAGAGCTCGACAGCAGCCAAGGCGTGAATTGATGCAGAAAAGTCGCCCGCTGCTTCGGCCAATCCTTTCCGCTGAGCCACCACGGAGTCGACAGACTTCAGCAACGCCTTCAGCTGATTCTCCAGGGCATCAAGATAGATCTTGCGGTCATGGAACCACTGCAGATGTGTCAGTCAAGAGTTCTATGTGGCCTTGAGATGCCGCTTACATCGTCATGTTCAACAAACTTCCCACCTCCACCAACATTAATCCCAAAAGAACTGAACATGCCCTTGCTTTGCCCGAGATCAGGTTCCCGGTTTTCCTTGTTTTTCACATCAAGGTTGAACGTGTCGCTCTCTAGGAAAATCTTCAGGTCACCGTCATGTTGAAGGATGGGATGCGCCGCAATCTTGTTCAACATGCGCTCCAGGGCAGCTCTTCGAGACTCGACGAAGTTCGTATCGAACCGACCCACTGCTTGCTTCTCCGGGGGCGGAGGAACAACGACGCCGGGGTTGTTGTTGTGCATGGAGTTGTAGAGCCACAGGAAATCGCGATATCGCCGGCTGACCGTGAATTCCGGCTGTCTGTAGGCTTTAGAGGTCGTCTGGAACCGAGCGTTAGCATCCTCGCACCAAAGTGACCGACTAGCTCGTAGCCCGACAGCGACATCCATACCTTCGTCCTGACTTGATACACGATATGACTGCTCGTGAGATCTCCAACTTTGTGCGGGTCCCCAACAGTAATGTCGAAGGTCGGGTTCGCGGCCTTCTCGACGCTGATGCTGGGTTCGGAGTGTCGCTTCGACCCCTCCGCGTCACTCGGGGGCTGGACCGGCGGAGGGCCTCGGAATCCCGCGCCATCCTCTTCAAGGTTGACAGACTCTCCCAGCGCCGCACTGCTGGACGCCTGCGATGCCGAGGAAGTCGGACGCACGCCGCGCGCGCCGAATGCCTCCTTTTGCGGTGGAGTCGGTGCCTGTTCGTTGGGGCTGCTCTCCGTGGCCTTGTCTCCAAGCGGGCCGAGGGGGTCGAAAGAATCGTCGACGGCTTCTAACTTGGTCGCCTGCGCATTGATCCGGCGGGTGCCTCTGGGGCCTCTTCGGACGGGAGAACGCGAAGCATTGTTGGAGCTAGCTGGCTGTGTCGGTTGGTTGGGAGCTGGGTCAATGTCGGTTAAATTGCACAGGCAGCAATTAAGGAGATATGAGAAGACGTACTTGTCTCTTGAGTGTCAGTTTCGGGAGCGGTATGGGTGGGAGGCGACTGAGATGGGACGTCTGCATGCGGTGCATTAGAGGAGACACGATTGTGGTTGTATCCGTGACTGCCTGATGTCTTGCTTACCGCCCCACGGGGAATCTCCTGCGTCGAGATCCATGAATTAGGATTGAATAGGAATAGGGATGCGAGAAAGATTCGAGTAGGGGGTATGGAACTGGGGAAGTGGTGTCAGAATAGCGAGGGAGTCAAGTTTGGAGGGACGGAGGTGAAGGAGGAGGTGGAAGGAGTGGAGGGACCGCGGGATGGAGGAGTGATTGGTGATTGGCGATGACGGGGAGCAATTAAGTCAGTCAGTCAGTCAGTCGACAGGGCGGGCCGCCTTGACGAGCCTGAGGATCCCGCGCCAACTCCGAATGGTTTAGGCTGCCCCCGCCAAGACTTCCCATCCAGCAAGCTGTTTACAGTACTAACTATATAACTATGACATGAATGAGGCTTCATGTACGAAAGGATTGGCTGTGTCTACTCTGTACTACAAGAATATGCTGTGCGATTGGCATACATTCGTCATTGCATGAGACCTCGTGTGTGAATCCCTCCCTTCCATAATCAACTTTGACCACGCATTTATCCCTTATATATAGACTCCGCTCCGTCACCATGGCTATGCTACTAACAAACAAGACTCCTATTTCACCCAGGGAAGACCAAGCTTGTGCATTTCCACAGCCAGCTGGAACAGATAGTCCAAGCTCTCACACTGAGTCTTCGCCTTGGCAACGTTGTCACCCCAGACGTAGCTAGGCGCACCGCAGTTAGTCTCCAGTCAACCAAACATATGATACGCGAGCGCGGTGACTTACATTCCGTGTCTACGGACAAGGACGGCATAGGTGTCCGGGTACGCATCCATCGCCTTCTCCAAGCTACCAGTCAGATCCTCCTCGAACGCCGTGTTGTCGATAATGGGGATGCGCAGGGTATCGAAGAAGCCCAGGTAGCCCTTGCCCTTTCCAGCGGGAATACCCTTGATCTGCTCGATGTTGCTGATCTCAAAGCAGGCATCGGGGCCCTTTTCGCGCTCGACCAGAAGCGTCACCAGGACGGCCCACTGGGAGTGGGTGTGAATGCAGCATCCGGCGCCGCGCTCAAAGGCAGCCAAGAACAGAGGAGTGCAGGCGGAGGGGTTCAGGTTGAGAGGCTTGCGGATGTACTTGCGCTCAGACGGGGGGTACTTGGGCGTGGGGAACTGCAGGACGAAGATGTTCTCGGACTTCATCATCTCCTTCTGCACACCTGAGGGCGCAATGAAAATGTGTTCGCCCTGGCGGATGGAAGTCTACACAGAACGTTCCGAATTAGCACACGCTTTTTGGGTCATCTTCGAGGATTGCGACAGCTCCATACCCCACCACCAGTACCGGTAACCCAACCCCAGTTGTAGAACCGGCGACAGAGGTCGGGAATCAGGTTAGCCGGGTGCTCCGGGTCGGAGGATTGGACCAGGTGGTCATTGTTCTGGTTCTCGTGTTCTTGGCACATGGTGATTATTGTTGGGGTTGAGCCTCCGCAAATTGGCAGT